TTATTCATTTCTAAAAGAATAGTTACTAATAAATAAAATAGTAACATTAAGCATTTTTATATTCAACTTTTTATAATATTATAGTAGTCAATAATTAATTTTTTGATCTACTATAACAAAATTAGTTCTTCAAAATTTTATATCCTTAAATTAGGTAGATAGATAAGTAGATCTATCTTAAATTAGGTATTAATGTTTATTAAATGTATTCAGTTCAAAAATGAACATTTAGCGGTTAATATGTACTTGAATCTCTTAAAATATCAAATGACTATAACTTACTTATTACTGCAATGACAATTTCTTTAAAAAGATGAGAAAATGTGAACATAATATTTTAATGCTCTGTTTTGTAAGTGAGGCTGGCAGATAATGACTTGGAAGCTGTATAGACAGATTTATAATTCTAAAATATATAATTTCATTTGTTTGGTAAATAATTATGTCAAAATATTTATAACTTAATCAGAATCATCGCTTTGATCATTAATACTTTTAACAATTTTTGGAACAAGTGTTTTATCTTCAAGCATACCATGTTCAATTAAAAAGCCTTGCACATCTTCTGCATAGAAACTGTCTCCAAATTCATAACTTAATCTAACAAAATTACCTATCAAAATTCCATTTTTATATATTAATAAAGCTGGTACACCACTTATTTTAAAATCTCTGCTTAAGCCAGCCACAGATGCAATAATTGCACAAAATTTAACGTTGTCATAAACTTTGGCTAGTTCTGCCAAACATGAATTCATTATTTGGCAAGCCTTTAGATGCTTTTCATAAATATGGATGATTATTTTTACCGATTTATGTTCTTTTTCAATTGCATCGAGATATTCTTCACTGTTTTTCAAAAATATTAATTCCCCAAACTTAACGTTGTGATTTTGTTGTTTTAGCATTTCTTCCATACGTTGTTTTTGGTACTGCAATAAAAATTCGTCATTTAGCAACTCAGAAATTTCAGGATCCTCTAATTTTGATTTTTCTCGTTCTTCATCGAGAGTTGACTGTACGGACAGCGTTAATTTTTTTGCCAGTGCTATTCGTTCTTTTTCACATTCATTCCGTTTTTCCGATTCTAACTGTTTGAATCGTTGCCAGTCTGTTATCACTCCTTTTGGACCTGTATTCTGAGATGTTCCCTCCCACTTTTCTAACTGTGAGGTTTCGATCTGAAGTGAACGCTCATTTTTCTTTGGTGTATTTGAATTTGAATCAGAGTCTCCATTTTCTTCGTCTTCACTGCTACTACAATAGTATTGTAATTTTTCACCTAGAATTTTATCATCTAATGTGGTCATATTATCTTGTTTATTAATATTGTTTACACAGAGAAGTTAAGAATTAAGAAATCCTTAAAATGCAGATTTGATTTTGTTAAGGTTCAATGTCTATTTATTATGTCTGATGTATTTGACACAACAATTTAGGTTATGGTGTACTGTATAAACACGGAAGGGTTAAAAGATACTCAATTTCGTTCAGTTAATGGAAATTAAAACAAATAAAATATTTACTGTTGGTAATAACACCAGTTTCATCGGTCAGCTTGAATTTTAATATATTTAAAAATACAAAGTTATTAATAAGTATATCTGTACAACAAATATTATTTATTAAGCATTATTTTAATGAACATAAACACAATAGAGACAATTTCAATTTTAAGCTCGCATTGCTGCTTTAACATGCGCCTGTTGAAATTGCTGCTGCAGCTTATTTAGGGATTCCCTGTGATTATTTTGCTTCTTCTCCAATTCAGTAAGATNTTAGGTGGAAGGGGATTCGCAGAATCGAGAGTTCACTGTATGCTTCAAGTGGTTTAAAGCGTGCCGCGTATTTTGATATGCACAATTTTTTCGGTTCAAATTTTGTAAAAATAATTCTAGTTGAAATAAATTTAAAATAAATAATGAAAAAAAGAACCTTTTCAAAAATTCGGGACAATCCGGGACAAAAAACCTAAATCCGGGACAAATACTGCTTCTAGAAAAATCCGGGACGCAAGGTGGAAATCCGGGACTGTCTCAGCCAATTCGGGACGTATGGTCACCTTATTTAAAATGCGGTGCAAATCGTTGATTAATTATCATTAATTTGTTAAAAAAATAAAACTAAATTTCAGGAAAATACTATTCTGCTCTAACATAAACTTTATTATTAAATGTTAGTAAGGAAAGATACCGAAGGTGTCGAAATATATTTCAGGTTTCATAAACGCATTTGTGGAATTTTAAATTCGTGTTTTGGTTAGTTTAGTTACACAGAACTCGATTTAATTGTCTTACCACAGAAAGGCAGGTCACCGACCCATTTTCCACTACTTGAACAGACAATTTGTGTGTTTCCAAATGTTTCATATCCTTCATCACACAAATAGCTACCCTTTGTGCCTGGAAGGAGATCCTCAGAGGTGAGGGTTATTCTTGCATTAACAGGAATGGCAGGATGTCCACATTTAATTGTATCTGAAAAAAAAATGCAATGAATAAAAAACGGTAAGACATAAAATAAAAATAGAAATTCTATAAGGAATCCTGTATACGAAAATAATTTAAGAAACAATTCTGGCAATCAAATCCGTTCCTATACTTAATGGGCTAGTGTCATTAATTTTCAAGGGCGGATTTAACCACTGCGAGGCTTCGGGCGGATAGATCTTTTCGAGTCCCTTGTCCTTGTGGATTTAATGGTGATACTTGACGAAAAATACAAAGTTATTAATAAGTATATCTGTACAACAAATATTATTTATTAAGCATTATTTTAATGAACATAAACACAATAGAGACAATTTCAATTTTAAGCTCGCATTGCTGCTTTAACATGCGCCTGTTGAAATTGCTGCTGCAGCTTATTTAGGGATTCCCTGTGATTATTTTGCTTCTTCTCCAATTCAGTAAGATGATCATCTACACGTTTTAATTCTTTGTTAATAAAATCCATACGTTTTTCGACATTTTGTCTAGCTTCGGTAATGTCAGTCTTAATTAAGATTGGCCCCACACTTTTGTAAACTACAGAATCAGTTGATAAAATATCTAATTCGCCTTTAACTATTTGATTTTCGTTTAGTTGAGCGTCCAGTTGTTGTCGATTTGAAATTGCTTTCTGATATTCTGTAAATGGTAAAAATGACTTATTTAACAAGAAACGTCTTAAATTACAATTACGATTAAAATCGACGGACCTTTTTGGACTAGTTTAAAACTATCTAGTTCACTTTGTATCTTTTTTTGCATATCTTCCATTGTAACGTAAAACAACAGTTCGCAATCTAATAAAAGCAAGGAATTCGAGTAAATCTCGATTTAAAAATTGCACATTACAACTTGTCACAGTTTTTAGTACATCCATAAAATATCGTTGAGAAATTGTGAACAACATAGACCTACAACAGAATTTTGTCTATTACAATATCCATAGATTAAAGAAATATATACTGTAAGGGTTGTGTGAAATGGCACCCGATATAAATAACTCACTGAACCAAGCTTCACCCATAAATTGTGCGTCGTTTGCGGGTTCTAAATACGTACGTATCATAATCATGCATCCATTAGTTCTGTTAAAAAAAAGGAAAATTGTTTCGGGTGCAGATTGAAATTGAATGTCAATTTATTCAAAAAATACTGAAGATATAATAATTTAATCAACACCAATTGATTGCGTGTCATTTGCGCTTGAAGGTTGACAATCGTTGACAATAATGAGGGTGAAGGAACTATTGTGCAAATAAGTTGTCTATTGTTTTAATATAACGAACAATTGTATGTACGTGTCAGATGTATAAAGTACATTTCCTGAGGTATAGCAAAAACTAAGTATTAGAAAAACATGGTATTATTAATACTTGTAACGAGAATTTTTAGTCACTTAGACAAATGTAGGTCGTCTTTATGATATTTAATTTTTTAAATCATCCTGTAATTTTGTTTAAGTAATGTTTTTCTATTTTTTAAAAACGCATTTTAAATTTAAACAAAAATAACTTGTGTTTATTGATATTACCTTTAAACATGGCCGCCGTATGCGCGCACCAATCACAGCGATGCTGCCTGTGGCCAGACTCTTATTATTAAGTAACTCTAGTTTCCATCATAGATATTTGCGTTATAGAAAACCTTCACATCCATCTTAGGTGGTTCCAACTTCAAAAAAAATTTCGTATCCAAATTATATATATATATAATACTCCTATATTGCTAGTTCCCGTAAGTGGAAGTGTAACGGGGTAAGTGAATCAAAAAACCACTACTTTTCTCTCTTTTTAGATTACTCGACCCGTTGTGCGTAATCGTCACGAGTCTGNCCTAAGCCTAAAACTTTTTGCTGTTACTGCACTATTCCCAGCCAATCCCGTACCGCTCTTCATTCGTGTATCCCTTCTACTACTTGAGTGCGATAAATTGTTCGTTATTTATTAATTAATATCTCAGAAACTGTGTTGTAATAATTAATCAAACTTTTTTCAAAGAAGTTATTAGACATTGTTTAATCTTTCTGTAGTTTTTTAAAACATTTGTAAGAAGGGATTCCAAGTTAACATTGTATTTCTAGTTAGCCTCGCCGGTATCCTGTATAGTACAATGTATAAGAGCCGCAAAAACGCGAACTTTGAAATTAAATATCTCTGAAACTATATTGCCCAATAATTTCAGTCTGCACATATAGGTGAAGAATAACTTAAATAATATTCTGTCAAAATTTCATAAGAATCCTAAGAAAACGCTTTTCATGGAACAACTACCTTAACACCATGTCGCGGTGTACTCTTTAAATAGTACTGCATAACGTACAAAATGTGTAGTAACGTAGTAGTAAGCTATTGATATGCTTATACGTTGCCAATTCACGACCAGTGCCGGCTTCAAATTGTAACAAATTTCAAATTTTTGCATCTTAATCACGCTATTTACTCACCATACGATTCCGTATTGCATCTATATAGTTAACATCCAGCAAAGCTTGCTACTTATTTCAGAAACACCCTGTATAAATATATATCTTTAATATTATTTCATTATTTCCTGAGTTACGGAAGAAATAGATTACAATTCAATAAGTATAAAACTAACTGGTGTGTAAAATTACTAGCTAATTTTTGAAAAATTATACTACAATCTCTTCAAATGCCACATGTTTGCTGACGACAAATTTATTAAATTAATACGATCAATTTTGTAACGGAAATAGAACGGTCACAGCCTATTAGCTTTAACTAATTCCTACCATATTAAAATTATTCATTGATCGGAACGTAGTAGCTGACATCTACTCTAATAAATAATTAAAGTAATGTAATTCGAAATGATTCTAATTAAATACAGTAATTATCCTTTAATTAAGCAAGAAATCGCATTTAACNATATATATAATACTCCTATATTGCTAGTTCCCGGAAGTGGAAATGTCACGGAGTAAGTGAGACAAAAAACGACTACTTCTGTCGCTTTTTAGATTACTGGACCCGTTGTGCGCAATCGTCACAAGTCTGGTGGGGTAAATGATGCGCGTAATATTCGTAGTAGTTACGAGAGAGACAGACGCATATATGTCTGCACCGTTGGGTCGTCATCATTTTCTAGACCCCTACTAGCAATACAGGGGTATTATATATATGATCCAAATATACTCACATGTCATTGTTGATTTGGGTTGATATAACTTATTTTCTTTTTTAGGTTTTTTTTTTCAAGTAAGTGTTCTGATTTTACCTGTTTTCAACTTGAGCCCTTATCTATGAACTTGAGCTTTGGAACTCAAAATTTTCGGAAATTGGCAGCATTGCTGTACTCACCATAAATATTTGTCTATGGTAAGTATGCGTTTAGAAAAATTATGTAGAAAAGTTGCGAAACCGTTATTTGTTGGCTTTAATGCCGAATTTATAACATACTTCAAATATATTAAAAAATGATAATAATATTACGATTGAATGATGATGTCTACTGTGGCTCGTGCATTTAAATATTCTCTTATAGGTTGTACTGCTTTGGGAAGTGCGATAAGTGTAACAACTTTAGCAGTAAATGACGACATAAATCCAATTGGTATCGTTCGCCTTAGTAGGGCTGCCAGAACCGTGTTTCAGATAGGGTTTATGTACAAGTATGATCTATTCGGTATTGATAAAACTTCTAGTGAATATAAAAAAATAAAATCACACTGCCATCAGAAGGCAGCTGAAATGCTGCTTGATCTTTGTTGTGCTAATAAAGGTGTTTATATAAAAGTGGGGCAACATATTGCAGCTTTGGATTATTTGCTTCCAACAGAATATGTACAAACAATGAAAGTTCTGCATAGTCATGCCCCTTCAAATAAATTAGAGGATGTTTACAAAGTCATCTCTGAGGATTTTAAAAAAAAGGTAATCATTAAGACACCTTAAATCTTTACCATGCATAAGTAAGTCATTTCAGTTGTACAAATCATGTTTGTAGTAACATTTCAAAAATTACATTGTGGACTAACCTTATGTGATGCCTTTTAATGCATTATAACACATTTATTTATTAATTCCATCTTTGCTTACTGAGAAGTGTATACAAATTGGTTACACTTCTCAATTTAAAGCTACATCTATGTCATCTACTTATCCTACTTATTAACCTACTTAATATTAATAACCTATAGGTACATTTGACACTAACTTTGTAAATATTTAATCACATTTGTACTCTGAAATCAATACCCTTACACTAAATACATTTAGGATTGCGGATAGTAAATTAGTTATTTGCCTTCATGTTTCTTTAGGTTTTTTAATTGCATATCTTTACCTTCCAGTTTTGGTTTAACTTATTTTTGTTTAGCTTTGATTTTTTTAGTGTGTTTGCCATCCATTTCTTGATTCTTTTCTTTGTTAGGTTTTTGGGTAGTGTTTATAGTTCTTGCATTTTACTGAATAGTTTTATTCGTTTATTCAGAAAAGTGTTCACTTCTGTTTTCTTTTTGTTAAGATATATTGTCTTTTTACTAGATGATTTTGTTGTCTTGTTTGGTAGCACAGCACAACACAGTCACCTCTATCTTACAAGCCATGAACAAGTATGTGGCAACGCCGCAAGATGTCGGCCATCCGGGGCTACTTGAGAGTCCACAACTAACATACTATAATGTTAGAATACCAAATTCAATATTGAATTTTGCAAACGATACGTACAATACACAGGAAATAGTTCGTATATTATGCATAATTAAATGTTTTGAACATTTATTAGCAATTTCACAAGAATTGCCAAATACTTAACAAATCGTAAATGTTTATCAGAATTGTTTTAGCTAATTATTTTCATTAGAAGTTTTCCTTTATTTCTAAGGCTATTTCTCAGAAACATAAATTTTATCTATTAGCAATACCTACTACAATTTTATCTTTTGCTGAAAGTGAGTTAGAAATTTGACGTAAATAATGACCAGTAGAAGATAAATCGTTATTGCCAGTATTAGATGGAGTTACATAAAAATTTAGAAGACAAATATTGTAAATTTCTTTTAGATGGTAAACTCAAAAATTCGTTATAGCATCATATCCGCAAGAAGTTATTGTAATGTAAAAAGCATAATAACAGTAGCAGGTGTATGCTGCCTTTTTTTTTAAAGGAATTGATTTAGTTGATCTGAAATAATTTTAAGTTGGTTTAAATTTTCAAAATTTTGCTCTTTTTCGCCATTTGATAAATTAATTGCTTTGTTTAATAAATTTAAAAATCCTTAACTGTCTCATTATTATTATCAATAGAACACTCATCCTTATACCCCGATAACATCATATCAAAAGGTAAAAACTATTTCAGATCAATAAAATTTAGTTGGGACCCCTTTTCGTAAACTATTACTTTCATACCAGGACTTATTGAAATTTTATTTCACTACTTCAAGAGAATTATTAAATTTAATACTTTAACAGACCACACGTCTGAAATTAAAATTTTTGTTTTATAATTATTAACCATGCCATCAAAATAGCTTATTAAATCTTTATTACCAAACGTATCTATTAAATGTTCCTGTCTTTCCTAGTAAACTATTTGTCTTCTAGATTTTTCTTATAGATACTGTATATAGATACATAACTAGATAAATTTGGAAAAATGCAAGGTACACTATTTAACTTTAGTTTTAGCCTTATGGGAATTTCTGTTACATTGAAGATGTGTATCAGTTTTAATAACAGCGCTATCTTCGAAATGTAAAATGCATACAATTGAATGCTTTGTAAGTACAATTGTTTTTGCGGAATTGCTTTTAACCATTTTTGCTTTAAAATTTCATCATTAGGAAAACGAAAAGTAGTAACTAATATTCCTCCTGCTTTCAATGTACTATTATAATTGGATTTTCATCCAGGAACATAACAAGTACGCGGCCTTTTTATACCTACGAGGAAGTGCAATTTTTATGTTAAAACTTATTGCTACTCATAACTACTAAAAAATGTTCATCACTGGATAGGAAGAACTATACTAACACTAGAAACAAATACAACATTGAAGTTTAAATTAGCACAAGCCAACAATGTAGACAGTTTTAAATAGAATAAACAATCAGATTTTCACACAGCCCATGTATATATAAATAGGCTCGTGGAAGTCCCGGAGTATATGCATCATTCTCGTAACTCCTAGTAGACCCGCTCGTTATGTTGCCAGGTTTCTTACTTCACGGCTTGTAAGATAGAGGTAGCTGTGCCTTATTAATTAGAAATTGTATATTGCTCCTGCAAGATTTACAATTTGATATATTAGAAACATTGTTTTGGAGTGTGTTATTCGGTTTACTTTTTTAGTATTTGTTGCTGGGTATACATGAGATCCATTGGGTCTCTGTGGGCTAGATTGTTTATTTTGTTTAGATGGTCTTGTATAATCCACTCTTTATTTAGGAATTGTCTTTTAATGTTTTTTGTTATGATCGTGCTGTTCTTTTTTAAGCCTTCTTTCTTTCTATGAGTTTGTTGTATTTTTCATTGACATTTCCGGTTTTTGTATTTTATTTTAATTTTTTGCAATGTAGTAATCGACGCGCTGATGAGATCCAACAAGATTGAAATCGCGATCCACGTCTGGCAGTTTCGACAGAACACAGACCACTTCGAATTATTTTATTCGATTATGGTAACGTGCCTATCACGTAGTGGTGAGCTACGCCGGGATTTCGTTTCAGCAAGTAGATATCCATATATTTAAATGGACCTTGTTGAGAATATGTAATCCTAAAATGTAGCATTGTACTACAGATGGCGTTTATCGCGCCATTTGTGGTATTTTATAAAATGTGCTGTTATGACAGCAGGTAAAATTGGTCTGTGTTCTGTCGAAACTGTCTGCGACGCGCTGATGAGATCCAACAAGATCGAAATCGCGATCCGCGTCTGGCAGTTTCAATAGAACACAGACCACTTCGAATTATTTATAATAATATTACGATTGAATGATGATGTCTACTGTGGCTCGTGCATTTAAATATTCTCTTATAGGTTGTACTGCTTTGGGAAGTGCGATAAGTGTAACAACTTTAGCAGTAAATGACGACATAAATCCAATTGGTATCGTTCGCCTTAGTAGGGCTGCCAGAACCGTGTTTCAGATAGGGTTTATGTACAAGTATGATCTATTCGGTATTGATAAAACTTCTAGTGAATATAAAAAAATAAAATCACACTGCCATCAGAAGGCAGCTGAAATGCTGCTTGATCTTTGTTGTGCTAATAAAGGTGTTTATATAAAAGTGGGGCAACATATTGCAGCTTTGGATTATTTGCTTCCAACAGAATATGTACAAACAATGAAAGTTCTGCATAGTCATGCCCCTTCAAATAAATTAGAGGATGTTTACAAAGTCATCTCTGAGGATTTTAAAAAAAAGGTAATCATTAAGACACCTTAAATCTTTACCATGCATAAGTAAGTCATTTCAGTTGTACAAATCATGTTTGTAGTAACATTTCAAAAATTACATTGTGGACTAACCTTATGTGATGCCTTTTAATGCATTATAACACATTTATTTATTAATTCCATCTTTGCTTACTGAGAAGTGTATACAAATTGGTTACACTTCTCAATTTAAAGCTACATCTATGTCATCTACTTATCCTACTTATTAACCTACTTAATATTAATAACCTATAGGTACATTTGACACTAACTTTGTAAATATTTAATCACATTTGTACTCTGAAATCAATACCCTTACACTAAATACATTTAGGATTGCGGATAGTAAATTAGTTATTTGCCTTCATGTTTCTTTAGGTTTTTTAATTGCATATCTTTACCTTCCAGTTTTGGTTTAACTTATTTTTGTTTAGCTTTGATTTTTTTAGTGTGTTTGCCATCCATTTCTTGATTCTTTTCTTTGTTAGGTTTTTGGGTAGTGTTTATAGTTCTTGCATTTTACTGAATAGTTTTATTCGTTTATTCAGAAAAGTGTTCACTTCTGTTTTCTTTTTGTTAAGATATATTGTCTTTTTACTAGATGATTTTGTTGTCTTGTTTGGTAGCACAGCACAACACAGTCACCTCTATCTTACAAGCCATGAACAAGTATGTGGCAACGCCGCAAGATGTCGGCCATCCGGGGCTACTTGAGAGTCCACAACTAACATACTATAATGTTAGAATACCAAATTCAATATTGAATTTTGCAAACGATACGTACAATACACAGGAAATAGTTCGTATATTATGCATAATTAAATGTTTTGAACATTTATTAGCAATTTCACAAGAATTGCCAAATACTTAACAAATCGTAAATGTTTATCAGAATTGTTTTAGCTAATTATTTTCATTAGAAGTTTTCCTTTATTTCTAAGGCTATTTCTCAGAAACATAAATTTTATCTATTAGCAATACCTACTACAATTTTATCTTTTGCTGAAAGTGAGTTAGAAATTTGACGTAAATAATGACCAGTAGAAGATAAATCGTTATTGCCAGTATTAGATGGAGTTACATAAAAATTTAGAAGACAAATATTGTAAATTTCTTTTAGATGGTAAACTCAAAAATTCGTTATAGCATCATATCCGCAAGAAGTTATTGTAATGTAAAAAGCATAATAACAGTAGCAGGTGTATGCTGCCTTTTTTTTTAAAGGAATTGATTTAGTTGATCTGAAATAATTTTAAGTTGGTTTAAATTTTCAAAATTTTGCTCTTTTTCGCCATTTGATAAATTAATTGCTTTGTTTAATAAATTTAAAAATCCTTAACTGTCTCATTATTATTATCAATAGAACACTCATCCTTATACCCCGATAACATCATATCAAAAGGTAAAAACTATTTCAGATCAATAAAATTTAGTTGGGACCCCTTTTCGTAAACTATTACTTTCATACCAGGACTTATTGAAATTTTATTTCACTACTTCAAGAGAATTATTAAATTTAATACTTTAACAGACCACACGTCTGAAATTAAAATTTTTGTTTTATAATTATTAACCATGCCATCAAAATAGCTTATTAAATCTTTATTACCAAACGTATCTATTAAATGTTCCTGTCTTTCCTAGTAAACTATTTGTCTTCTAGATTTTTCTTATAGATACTGTATATAGATACATAACTAGATAAATTTGGAAAAATGCAAGGTACACTATTTAACTTTAGTTTTAGCCTTATGGGAATTTCTGTTACATTGAAGATGTGTATCAGTTTTAATAACAGCGCTATCTTCGAAATGTAAAATGCATACAATTGAATGCTTTGTAAGTACAATTGTTTTTGCGGAATTGCTTTTAACCATTTTTGCTTTAAAATTTCATCATTAGGAAAACGAAAAGTAGTAACTAATATTCCTCCTGCTTTCAATGTACTATTATAATTGGATTTTCATCCAGGAACATAACAAGTACGCGGCCTTTTTATACCTACGAGGAAGTGCAATTTTTATGTTAAAACTTATTGCTACTCATAACTACTAAAAAATGTTCATCACTGGATAGGAAGAACTATACTAACACTAGAAACAAATACAACATTGAAGTTTAAATTAGCACAAGCCAACAATGTAGACAGTTTTAAATAGAATAAACAATCAGATTTTCACACAGCCCATGTATATATAAATAGGCTCGTGGAAGTCCCGGAGTATATGCATCATTCTCGTAACTCCTAGTAGACCCGCTCGTTATGTTGCCAGGTTTCTTACTTCACGGCTTGTAAGATAGAGGTAGCTGTGCCTTATTAATTAGAAATTGTATATTGCTCCTGCAAGATTTACAATTTGATATATTAGAAACATTGTTTTGGAGTGTGTTATTCGGTTTACTTTTTTAGTATTTGTTGCTGGGTATACATGAGATCCATTGGGTCTCTGTGGGCTAGATTGTTTATTTTGTTTAGATGGTCTTGTATAATCCACTCTTTATTTAGGAATTGTCTTTTAATGTTTTTTGTTATGATCGTGCTGTTCTTTTTTAAGCCTTCTTTCTTTCTATGAGTTTGTTGTATTTTTCATTGACATTTCCGGTTTTTGTATTTTATTTTAATTTTTTGCAATGTAGTAATCGACGCGCTGATGAGATCCAACAAGATTGAAATCGCGATCCACGTCTGGCAGTTTCGACAGAACACAGACCACATCGAATTATTTTATTCGATTATGGTAACGTGCCTATCACGTGGTGAGCTACGCTGGGATTTCGTTTCAGCAAGTAGATATCCATGTATTTAAATGGACCTTGTTGAGAATACGTAATCCTAAAATGTAGCATTGTACTACAGATGGCGTTTATCGTGCCATTTGTGGTATTGTATTTTTATTGTCTATTATTCTGTCCAATTCTCATAGTAGTCGATGTTCTGGGATATCTTCTGGCCTGTATACTAATACTATATTGAGATTTTGAATTTTGTTCTTGGTTTTAATATTAATTTTTAGGATTGAGGTGTTATCGTTGTTACTGGTATTTTTTAATTTACAGTCTGTTATGTCTTTTTTGACGCCGACTCCTCTTCTTCTTTTTTCTCGATACAAAGTAACTGTCATATCTGCTTATATTGTAGTATGTTTCTTCTTTCTTTGATAGCCATGTTTCAGATATGCATATTGTATCTATTTCTACTTACTTAATTTTTAGTGTTTCATCAATTTCTTCCATTTTGTTTTTTAGACTTTTATTGTTTAAGTACAATACTGTTAGTTTATTGTTATTTGTTAGATTTTATATTCTTCTATTGTAGCATATTTTTGTTTTATTGTCTTCATTTAGTTTTCTGTTCGATAGTCAATATTTTCTCTTATTTATTGAATTATCCTGTTGTATATTGTACAATTAGTAGGCTGCATTGATGTTAATATTTTTTTATTTTTGTGCAGCCAAAAGAAATATTTCTATCAGTGGATCCAGAACCATTGGGTACAGCTTCATTAGCCCAAGTTCATAAGGCATTTCTTCATGATGGTTCTGTAGTAGCTATTAAAGTTCAACACCCTTATGTAAAAAATCACGCAAAAGTTGATATGAAAAGCATGGAAATTATGGTAAAAATAGTTAGTCTGATTTTTCCAGAATTTAAATTTCAATGGTTAGTAGATGAAACAAAAAAGAATATACCTCAGGAGCTAGATTTTTTTAATGAAGGCAAAAATGCTGAAAAAGTTGCTAAGATGTTTCAGTGTTATCCATGGTTGGTTGTACCAAAGGTCAGGCAAGTATTTTTTTTTTAATAAGTAGGCTTTATGTTAGACTGAGAGCTAGTGAACGCTCCCGGTAACGGTACTCCTGTAAGGCTAGAAATTTGTTTAGTGATGAATTATAGCATGTTAAGTATAGTAACCATGACCTGGCAGGTCTCGGCCCTGCACATCAGCAGACCCTGTATTTTTGAAAGTATTAATAAATATTAATTAATAAAAGTTAAAAAATAAACTTACCGTTGTAAGCTTGAAAATTTATTACGACTTAGTTTATTGATTATAAAGTTCAGGAAAAAAATGCCAGACAATTCTGGTGGGTACAAGTACCGGACAGGTTGGTCAAAAGGTGTACAGTACATGGTTTGAAATAAACTTTGTTCTGTAAATTTATATACGTGTTTAAGTAAGGGATGTAGAAATAAGAGGTATAATGAAGGCGGTTCTGACCAACATAAGACCTTGACAGGCGAGAGGCAAGATGCTACGGGTATGCTGCTAAAAAGCGTAACGTGAATTCAATTGTCCGAGTGACATTACATGGAACTAAAAATTATTAGGAGATATATATTTTATTGATTATAATGACACCTGCATAAGTTTTAAATTATTTTTTTTGTAATCATCGTCTGACTCGTCACTACTTATTTCTTTGTCATCATTTGACTTCATAACCAACTTCATCTTCTGAAATTAAGAAAAGTTTGATACATTTAAAATTTTGTTACGTATCGGATCTTGCGCAGTTATATAAGTCCCCATATATTAATATTATTGGTCATATTTTACCTGAATTTTTTTTTCTCTGTTTCCTCAACTTGCTTTCAAACATCAGCTGACTGTTGTAAGAGTATTTCATAGATTGAAGAAGGAACTGTATTCCCCTCAAACCAATTAAAAACATATTTATCCTCAATTAAATTCCAACCATAACCTTCAAGTGTAAGAACTGTTGGCTCTTTTAAATGATTGTTTCGCCAGATATTTGTTGTGTATAATATCCTCTATAATTGTTGGTGTAGTTCACGTTGACATGGAGGTAAATTTGACGAATCATAACTGATAAGTTTCTTCGTAAATACTTTAGTATTACTTGCTTTGTATGTGGCTAAAAATTTTCATAACGTGCATCATTTACACATTTAACTTTCATATTATATATTTGGCATACAAACTTTTCAAGTCATATCATTCCTAGATTTTGCTTTTTAACATAATGTGAACTCAAGCGTGACTTACCTAAATTCTGCAATGTCAGTCCCACAAAAATTACCCGATATTTTAAAGTGAATAAATATAACAAAAGTAATAATTTTATAATATAGGGAAACATTTAAACACTTCTTGATACCATAGCATCTTGCCCCTCGCCTGTTAAGGTCTTATGCTATCCAGAACCTCATGTTATTGTATCTCCTATTTCTACATTCCTTACTTAAACTCATATAAATTTCAACTTTACAGAACCAAGTTTATTTCAAGCCATATACTGTACACCTTTTGACCTACCTATCCAGTACTTTTGCTCACCAGAATCGCCTGGCAATTTTTTTCTGAACTTTATAATTAATAAACCACGTAGTAAGTTTTCAAGCTTACTTTGATTCGAATTTTGAAAATTTGGGCAATAGCGATTGGGTATGCTCTCTTCAATTAAAATAACGGCACCCATGCAGAACTTCCGGTTATACCGGAAGTTGACAACAATTTCATTATTTTAAATGGAACACCCTGTATATTATGACGGTTTTGAATTCTACTTATGGGTTTAGGTACATCTTTTAGCTTTCCTGCTTTTAAAATTTATTACCATTTCCGAGATATTATTTTTTTTTTAAAAAAAGTATCACAGGGCAGTAGGTTTCGAAAAAGCATGCCGTTTTTACAGTAAGAAAGCTGGAGCAACAATATTCTCAGAAAATGTAACTATACCCTCTAGCTTTCAAAGGGGGTTAATTGCATACAGGGTGTTAGATATTTAGTGGCGGATTTGGTTTATTTCAAACAATCGTAAGTTAATTTTTACAAATGGAACACCCTGTATATATTTTCATGGCCTTATACAGAATTTTATTGTCTTTCGAATGGTACTATCGTTGCCTATGCCCATCTCTAGTTTTCAAATTATTTACTGTTCTTTGTAAAATCAACTAAAACTGTTTATCTGTTTACGAAGATGGCTGTGAAATTATTAGCAAAACTTCAAAACAAATAAAATGAGTTAATTATTGTCACTCAAACACCCATACATACAGTTTAGTCATCAAATATTTTGATTCTCAATGTCAATTATTGTATATTATTTTTATGAAGAATGGAAAAAGCATTTGCTTATGATTAAACGGAGGCATATGCAACGATTAAACTAATACAACAGCCGATGTTCATTGTTTATTAACTTCCCATTAGGAAGTTATTGTAATTGGGTCGAAAAGTGAAATCGGAATTTTCATTATATTTCCACGTTTTAACATATTAGTAGCATGCTAGCCAATTTTTTTGATGATGTGTGTATGTACGTACGTACGTACGTACGTACGTACGTACGTACGTACGTACGTATGTACGTACGTTCGTATGTACGTACGTTCGTATGTCAGCATTTTTTTCGTTTTCGATATCTCAAGAACGGATTGAGATATCGCCCTCAACCAAAATTTTTTCGAAAGATATTATCATAATGAAGATCTGAAAGAAATTTGAACGAAATCGGTCAAGCCGTTTTTTTTTTATAAAAAAAAAAACGAATTAATTACAAACAATTTAATTAAAATACGTTCTAATCTAATCACAACAATGAAGTTACGGAATCAATAATAACGAAATATCATTATTCAAGACAGGGAATAACATATTATAATAACATATTATAATAAAAATTTGTTTATAACAAAATGAATTGTTATAAACAATCGATAAACAATAAAAAATAGTATTTACCAATTGACTGATGCAAGTACTCTATCAATTCGGTTTTCTCAGACGAAATACTGTTTCTTATGGGTTTATAAAATGACGAACTCTCAAACATTGTTTGTTATTTATTATTGTGCCGCGTTTTTTTCAAACTTTAGAAACGAATGTACTTTACAATAACTGTATTATCTAATGGGAAGTTAGTCGTATTAGCACCGACCAAAATGTGCTCAGACCAATTTTTTTAATTACTGTTTATTTGCGTTTCTTATTAGTGTAGTCTACCGTATTGCAGTTGATTCCTTAAAATTTTCAATTTGAAAAGATATTTTCATTTTCCATTCTTCATAAAAATAATATTGAATAATTGAAGTTGAGAATCAAAATATTTAATGACTAAAATGTCAGAATGGGTGTTTGAGTGACACTAATTAACTCATAATAACAAATATACAGTAAGTAATTTGAAAACTAGAGGAGATGCGTCTAGGGCAGGGGTCGTCAACCTTTTGATTTGGAAGAGTCAAAAATTATAATTTACAAAATTTCAAAGTTTTTAAAGAGCCACAAAATTTTTTCTTACCAATAATAAATAGTACCCATAAATAAAGTTTTTTGATGAAAAAACTAACCTTTTTTCTTCATATATAAGTAGTGTTTTTCACAACAAATTCAATAATTTGTTTAGGATATTACTAGATCATTACTTATTATTTAAGTAAAAAATTACAACAGTTAAACATTTACTTACAACACTAATTTGTACTTCAACAATAATTGAGCAAACAAATTCAATGGGAGCGATGGCTTTGCATGGTTTTGAAAAGTTTGGATAAATTTGAATCATAATTCGTTGTTTTAAGTTTCAAACACAACTCTAAATTTTTATTTGTTAGTTGACTTCTTACATTCCTTGTAATCATATTCGTGCAAAAGAACTCTTGCTAGCACGAATATGACTGTTTGAAAATAGTCGGCACTCCATATGCCAACTTCTTCACCTCACTGTAGCAATCTGGAAGACTGTTGGGGGCAGTGAAAAGCGAGTACAAGTGGCTGAGAGATAGAATCGGTGCCTAATCCTCGTTAATCGATTCAGAACGATTTTTAAATGTTTTTTTTTATAAAATAAATAATATTTACGTATGGAACTAAACAGGCGCAGCTTCACATCCAAAAAGCCGCATGTGGCTCGCGAGCCGCAGGTTGCCGATCCCTGGTCTAGGGAACCATAGTACCATTCGAATGACAATAAAATTCTGTATAAAGCTATGAAAATATATACATGGTGTTGTTGAAAAATCAACTTATGATTGCTTGAAGTTAACCAAATCTAAATATCTAACACTCGGTATGTAATTAACTCACTTTGAAAGTATGGACGGGAAGCTTTGGGGGTATAAAATAATTCGATTATGGTAAGGTGCCTATCACGTTGAGGTTAGCTACGCCGGGATTCGTGTATTTAAATGGACCTTGTTGGAGCATACGTAATCCTAAAATGTAGCATCGTGCTACAGATGGCGTTTGCCACGCCATTTGTGGTATTGTATTTTTATTGTCTATTATTATTGGGGGTATAGTTGCCTTTTCTGAGAATGTTGTTCTTACTGTAAAATAGGCATGTTGTTTCGCAACTTACTGCTCTGTAATATTTAAAAAAAAATTAATATCTCGAAAAAGGTAAATTTTAGAATTAGAAAAAAGCATTATAAAAGTCTATCTAAAATCATAAGTAGAATTCAAAACCGTCATAAACACACGATTTTCCATTTAAAATAAGGAAGTTGGTGTCAACTTCCGGTATAACAGGAAGTGCTACATGGATGTCGTTATTTTAATTGAGGAAAGCATACTCATTAACGCTATTATCCACATTTTTAAAATTCGAATCGAAGTAGTTTCCGAAATATGAGAGACACCCTGTATCTAGATTATTGATATACTCCATAATAAAATTGTCACATTTACTTTTTTCTTTCAACTAACTAACTAGACCAGAGCGGTTGCTGACAGAACGCCTACTTTTATTCACAACAGACGTTGTAGGGAATGTCGTAAATATAGAAACGAGATGTCAGGTAGGAATTGTAGCGGA